ACCCTGTATAATTTCATTGTTTGTTTTTCTGTTTCTTTTTAGTATTTTGAAATAAACGTTGACTATGAAATCCCAAATCTACCTAAACATTTATCATTTACTCAATACGTATTTAGCTAAAATCAATGAGTGTTTTGATGTCAATAATTTTACCCATACAAATCTCAAGTCAATGATAATTTAAAACCTTAAAAAATATGAATAATAGCCAATGATATGAATGTTTAAAATTCCATTCAACAGTTTCGTAGGATATTAATATGAATTACCTTGAGCATATCTTGAAACTATTTAGAAGTATATTTCGGATCCGTAGCAAAGATTAAAGCAAAATATGTTTGTGAAATTTACCCTCGAATAAGAGAGACACATTTATTTAGCCCAATCAACCCACTCTAGGCTCACCAGATATTAAACACACAAAGGTGTTTTGAGTTTTACAGTAAGAAAATACTTTAATAGTACTAAACGAAGTTAATGGTAGACCTAAAGGGCCGTCTAACGCGGGTTTTAATCATTTTAACCCCCCCCCCCCTGTAACGCTGCATAACGCAAGCCCAAATCCCCTCCCCCTGTCACGTAACACTGTCAGATATTTTCTTAAACAAGGTTGTGTGGTATGAAATTTTTGATCAATATTTAAAGTAAGTTTATTTATAAAAGCAAACATTTAAAGAACAAAATTTATAGTTTGGACACAATGTGTGAACAAATTAGCGTTGACAATGGAACCTAATTTTTTAAATCAGCAATTTAGCAATTGTTTACTAAACACTCTCCTTTAGTAGTGTTTTCATTTTGATACATCAGAAATCAAGATTTTTAGTGCGTTACCACAACAGTTTTGAAACCCTCTCCCCATCCTTGTAACGCTGAGCCGAATTCCTCCCTCCGCCCTTGAGCGAACGGCTCCTATACTGTAATAGCATCGATAAAATTGTAGGCCTATTAACTTCAAATAGTGCCAGTAATATTTTTACCTACTACTGTACATTTATAACCCATCTTTAATGCCATTACATTTTGGTTACTCTCAATTTCTTGTAAATGTTTATTTTTTACGTCAGCTGAGATTTTACTATGTGTGTTTCACATTTTGGCTATGATGCCGAAGTAGAAGCAACTTCTTGCAAACCGATTGTTCCAATATATTAACACATGTCTCTCATATGGTAAAGAAGGAATAAAGTAGGGCTTTTGCGTGAAATATACTCATGAATGTGATAGAAACATTTTATCACCATCAAAATAATCATTAAACTCTGCTTCATTTGATAATACAGTAGTAAGACGTCTTGTGCATGTAGTATCCAAAATCGATGGTAACAACACTGATGCACTGATGAGGCTATGTAATATGTTTAGTAATATATAATTTGCTTGTGTATGGGCTTACTTTATTCATAACAATAAGATTAAAATGTTAAATATATTTTTATAGGATAGAAACCATTGCAAAATTATCCTCTGTACTGTATGATGTATTAAATTTATTACTTTACGAAATTGTCGAATATGAAGATTCATTTACAATACATTTTTTCGATACCAAAAAAACATTTGTCCAACACCTAAAAAATAGCTCACCAAATAGACCATATTACAACATCAATGAGTACTTAGAAGAACATTCATACACACACATACGCCAGCTCACTTCGTGAAAACATAGCAAAGACCCGTCCAGACGGATGACGATTCCCCGATCTACGGATTGTGGTGAAGACATCGAAGGTAAAAGGTGAAAAGGCAATGTCGACCTTTAATTAGGCCCAGCATACGAACTTAGGTTGATTTAATATTACTTTTCTATTCTCAATAGTTGATAGTTACGAATTTAACCCTTCCCAGACCATAGGCGGATATATCCGCTAACATCTTGTGTATAGCGGGCGTCCGCCTATCTTTTTTCCCCTCGGACGGTAGGCTGATATATCCTCCGATTATTTATTACATCTATTGTTATAGTTGATTGTCTATAACAACATTAATCTTTGTAAAAACGTCTTTTTGTTCAATTACATCTTTAACCGGTGTACGAGGAATGTTTATCTAGAAGAAAAAAAATGTAAAAAATGGAAATAAAAGTTTACGCAAAAGGCTCGTACCTTAAACGTTCTACTCGTGTCGTTATCACTATTTACTAAAAATTACTTCTCATTAACTTCTAAGAGAGGTTATGTTTTTGTTTATAACCTCTCATTGCCACTGACGAATGCAACGAAACATTGCACCAAACACTAATTGCAACTCTCAGCAATTAAATTGGCCTGAACAGCTGATTAGTTGAAGTTCGAATCATTACAATTTTACTTCTTCCCTCTCAATTCTTGAACCTCATTGATCCGTTACCCGTGTTGGTATCTATGCTGTTATAAAAGTAAACAATGATGTTATGAGAAACTTTTCAATTCTAAGAATTGTACTGAAGCGGCTACTTTAAAAACCGGTTGTATGTAAAAAGGATTAAAACAATTATTTTGGACAAAAGTCCTGCATAGGTACTATTTACAGCATTCTATAAATTATACATTGAAAAAGAAATAGTTTTTAGTTTATACTTTAGTGGTCCAGGAAGGGTTAAATTGTGTCAATCATAAAACAGTTTTTATCACCGTCTGTGAGGAAACCAACAGCAAAATTGTATGACCGAATTTTGAATCAACACCTGAAATGGTAAGATTTTTTACATGTCAAAGTATGACCTAAAAATTAATTTTCTTTTGTATTACAGGAGAAATGGAACTTGAACTTGAGTTTCTTGCCATTGCCATGGATGTGTGGCAGAGTAGCCAGGACGTATTGGCAGTGGCACAACGGGTGACGAGCCACTCTCAGTTCCAGCTGTACGTTCAGAACCACGACAACATGAACGAATTGTTGGATATGTTCGAGAACATGCACGACATGCTGTCGACATTTTACTCTGAAGCGGAGGATCTTTCTGTAATGAGTGAGGGTAATCCCCTCATGCTAGAAAACAACCTTCAAGAACTTATCAACACAATGGACGTGGTATTATCAATCCTTGAAAACATACAAGAAAGACTGGTTCAAATCGAAGAAGATTTTAACAACCAGGTGTAGATTAAGAGTTAAATAAGTTAATAAGTTATCAAAAAGGTTTTGATTAGGTGGATATAAAATATTGTCTTCGTTTAACTTTTTTTATGTAAAATGTATGACTATTTTAATTTGCTATTTTTTGTCTGTAACTTAGTTAGAAATCCACCAACTTTTTTTTACAAAATTTGTTAATCAAAATCAAAATCTGCTTTTCTATTACTGTCAAGTTTCATTTGTTTAATAAGCCTTATGATTTTTAGCTGGCCTTTTATTATCCATGTTTGTAACACAATCCAAGTAAATTTCCTTATCAAATATGAACAAGTAAATTAAATCATTTCCAATTTTGTATCTGCAAGATATATGTAAACATAAAATCATTTCAGGCTATTTAAGTTTATACCTTTTGCAATAAACAATATTCTTTTTTCAATTATTGGTCCGTTGTAAAAAATCTATTATAACTTCCGTTAATTATTGAAAATTATAAATACCCATAAAATAATATGACTTACCCACTTTTTAACCCATGGGTATTTTCTGTTTGTTCCTAGAGTTTTTAATGTACCATACAAATACAAATTGAACCCCTTAAACCAACAAATAATGTAAATTTGATAAAATAAAATGACATTAAGTGGCATCGTGGTGGATTTTAGTATGGTGCTATATTATATTATATATTATTATATTATATTTATATTAGCCATGGAAAACAATTCTAACAATCCGTCTTAAAGGTGAAAACCTGAGTTTCCTGCTAATGGTATGGATAGAGATAGACTAAAAGTTAGTACAGTATTTGTAATCTTGTTGTGAGAAATACTATAAATACTATATATAATAGAAATAATAACTATTGAAAATGATATACTTATGTAAAACTTAACCATCTTCTTATATGTTTTATGTTTGCACAAAGAAGTCTTCATTTAAGTTAATAAGTTACTTCCTATTTCAATTAAACTTTTTAACCATAGATCTAATTTATTGCAATTTTCATTTTGAGACTACAAGGTACCTAAATAAACACTTTTCAAGAAAAAAAGTTAAAAAAATAGTTTCAGTAAAAGAAAATTATGGGCACAAGGACGTTTTCTTGCAAAGAAAAGATTTTGCATAGGTACTATAGTTATATGATACGTTTTAATACAATTTCGTAGGATTACGAAACAAACATTCTGATTTAGATAGATGCAATGTATAATATGAACCGAGATTTGTATTAGTAGATTAAAGATGTGTTTTAGTGGATACTTGTTTTCATAAAATAATCATTTTTCAAAGTCAAATTATTAAGTTTTAGTTACTTGTTGTAGTTTGCTTGCTTATGAACATATTTTAATCAAATTTGGAAAATGAATTTATTTCATACTAAACTAGACTATTAACATTTAAAAACACTTTTTAACCCATCTGTTTCAGCAAACCTAAGTACTCGTTAAACTAATGAGATTTTAATAGAGAATAAAAGTGATATTTTCAAGGAGTCATTTTCAATGTATACCATTTGTAATGTATAAAAGTCTGTCTTGGATTTAAAAAGATTTTCCTGGCGTGACTCCAGCCCACAATCTCCTTTGTTTATAATACAGGATATTTGTTTCAAAGTCTTTCTAGAGTGTTAATTTTAAATTGCACACTGATGTTTAGTACCACAAGTATTTTTGTCCATTGTTCATACATGATTTGCAATTGTTCTTTCACTTTGCAGTAAATGTAAATATGTTATAATACCTCTATTTATATTCTGTTATCATTTCCTTATTAATTTATATCTGTTATCGTAAAATTGTTAATTTAATATGTGTAATTTTACACCCCGTTTGACTTTATAAGTATTAATAAACACATTGATAATAACATTAATATATTTCGTTTTCTTGTATGGACCACTTTCTGTTTGTTCAATGCATGCTCATGCTCATTGTTTCTTAATGTAAATGGCCCATTGCCGTAGCCTTGGGTGGTTGGGTGGGTGGCTGGGTGGGTGGTTGGATGGGTGGTTGGATGGCTGGGTGGTTGGATGGCTGGGTGGTTGGTTGGATGGGTGGTTGGTTGGATGGCTGGGTGGTTGGATGGCTGGGTGGTTGGTTGGATGGCTGGGTGGTTGGATGGCTGGGTGGTTGGATGGCTGGGTGGTTGGTTGGATGGGTGGGTGGTTGGGTGGGTGGTTGGATGGCTGGGTGGTTGGTTGGATGGTTGGGTGGTTGGATGGTTGGGTAGTTGGATGGTTGGTTGGGTGGTTGGTTGGGTGGGTGGTTGGGTGGTTGGGTGGTTGGGTGGGTGGTTGGGTGGGTGGTTGGATGGTTGGATGGTTGGGTGGTTGGATGGTTGGTTGGGTGGTTGGTTGGGTGGTTGGTTGGGTGGGTGGTTGGGTGGTTGGGTGGGTGGTTGTGTGGGTGGTTGGGTGGGTGGTTGGATTGGTGGTTGGGTCGTTCTAAAATGTATCCGAAGTTTATTTATTTGGCAAAACTTACTTTAGTTCTTTGATATATCTCACACTGGCAACGAGATGTAATATAATACCATGTACCATTTTATAGATTATAGATAAGCATAAACGAATCATAATATACACCAGAAATGGATCTTTACATCGTAGTGAACTGCATGAATACCAATTTGATTATATATTTTGTTTCTTTGCTGAAATATTTTTATCGAATTAGTCAAATCAGTTGCTCAAAGTATGAAAAAGAAGCCAATTTACCAACAAACCTAAAATATTTAATAATGTTTCTAAACAACTAATTAAAACGGTCTTTGGAGATGATCACGAAAGTACCGTGATCACGTTTTACAAGAACAATGCCTTTGCATGTGTTTATGATTACAAACTCTCGGTTACAATTTAAAACTTCAGAATCACTAAAAGGTAAAGCGTTGAAGTTAACTACATATTTTCAAAGCATTGCCTTACAGAGTTCAACACAAGAACACTTTTTTCAAGTCACAAATCGTTAGGAGCTCAATACATCTATAACAACGTATTTATGTGAGAGGGTAACCTCTACTTTGGAGTATTGAACAAAAAATAAATACTGAAATATACTGTATTTGGAAAATTAGCAGTGCCAAACCAATTGAAATAGCTTTTTTCAAATTATACAGTCTCGTGTAAATGGTAAACTTAGTCTTTATTTTATAAGTCTTATTATTTAAAAGTAAAAAAAATCACTAAGTAATGTATTGTCAACAATAGCATTACAATTTTTATTTAAAGAACGTGTTTTTGTCAAAAGTTACTAGGGGATGAAGTAAATACATTTTCCAAATTTGATCAAAATATATCTATAAACAAGCATACTACACTATTGTGTTTTCCTTCCATAAGAATAACATGGAAACACGTACAGAAATGTTTTTGAAACAAATTATATTTAGTAAAAGAAATTACATAACAAACAAACACAAAGCTTTTTTTCATACAATAGCAAACTCCTTCGTGATCTGTTGGTTCTGTATGTTGATTCAAATGTTGAAAATATTCTATCCAAGTAAACAAATAAAACACACAATTCTGTGTTCTAGATTATAAATTAATTCCTTGGTAGCCTATTACATAATAGCGTTATTAAAATTAGTAATAATTAGCCAATGAACAGACAATTTGTTGGTACTTTTCTCTTACACCATAAGCCATACTCATTAGATTACACAACTTTACCTCCAAAACAACAAATCGCTGCAGTTAAACGCGGCAAAGTTAGTCAAGTGTTGTAATGACGCCTCTTAGCCCGGTCGTCCCTTATTTAATCACTCTCAATTCTCTACGTCCAAGAATTATCTCTGTCAAATAATGGTCTTATCTCGTGAAAATGCAAAAAGTAATTCTCTTTAAACTTTAAAGATTAAAATCAAATCAAATATAATTTGTTTCACGAAATAATTAACATATTACATGAGTTTCAACTCAGTACTAAACTATTCAACTATATTCAATATTAATTATTAGTTTTAATAGTATTATAAACGTTTTCTGCAAAACGCTTTTTAAGTAACTATAAAAATATCTCCTACAAAGGATAATTTCACCCATCGTGGAAGAGTCATTATAATTTATTTTTTTAGTTTAGAGATGGAAAATGAATTTTGGAATGATTTCAAAGTTATGCTGGAGTACTTAGTGATTTGTGGCTAACATAATATTATTTGGTAACTGAAGAAACGATACAACTCTCCCCCTCCACTCTTCCCATCGCTTCCATATACCATAGAATAAATAAACACCATATTTATATTACTTCATCTACTTCTTTAAACACCATTTATATTACTTCATATATAAAAGCTCTTCCCATCGCTTCCATATACCATAGAATAAATAAACACCATATTTATATTACTTCATCTACTTCTTTAAACACCATTTATATTACTTCATCTATCCCAATACCCACACGCACACCACTGTTCTTGATCGGACAACAACGAACAAAAAATGCCCTTTGCTAGGACCGTCAAAGCTCTCTCGTGGTTTTCTTCTGCACTCTGCAGGTCACGTCTCACAAGGCGAGGCGATTGGCGAAGGTCTCAGTCCAGTTTAGTCCAGTCACTCCAGTCCAGTCCAGTCTCCTTGATGTTCAGGTTCAGTGGTTCAGACCTTCTTTGTCTTTGTGTTCGCGTTTGTTTCGTTCGTAGTGTCACCAGTATCAGTGCGGGTGCCGTGATTGATAAGTAAGTCATTAAGTATAACTTAGTTTTAGTCAACTTAACTTATAGGGTTTATTATTTACTAAACAAATATTCTTATGTTGTTACATCTTAATCTTAGCCTACTTTAGTTTCATGGCAATTTGTAAAATGCAATCTGACCTATCCTATTGTACTTTATTGTACCAAATGGAAATAAATATATTTGATTTGCTACTCATGATATCTCGGTCAAATCAATGAAGAATGAGACTATTTTTTAGGCTATTTTAGTGAACTATGTAAATAATAGGCTTAGGCTAAATAATTAATTAATCAAGTTGAGTTGTCATTACGGAGTGCAAACCTACACAAAGCAATAATTAGAGATAGTGAAGGCAGGAAGACAAATACTAGATGTATAACATTGTACAACCTATGGTACAACTTAAATTTGGTCTCACCATATAGTCTAGGCTTTTGTTTTTAAAGTAGCCTATTGTGTTTTAAGTTACTTAGAAGACAATTTATCTTTTTCTTCTGATCAGCATGGTTTTATCCTTAGGCTCGAACTAGGAGCAAACATTGCCATGGTTTGTTCTATAACAGAGTTTTACTTCAGGTCAGGTTATTGGTAGCCTAATTTTACTTTCTCCCTCTGTAACTATCTTAGTAAGTTATATAGTAGATTGTAGGAAGTTAACTTAGATGGAGACTCCAAGTTTCTTTAGGCCTACCTGGTCTTATTTTGATGAGTTCTAAGTTAAATATTGATTGAGATGGGCCAAGCCTTTTCAATGGTTTATAAGGGTTTCAAATCTCTATTCTAGGCCTACATGCAATGGACTCAGTACAATGGCTAACAAGTTTTTGTCGGCTGGTTTTTATTTTATTTGGTAGGCCTATTATCAAGATTTGAGTCACATCTATCATTGAGTTTTGTGATGTTATTGTATATGCAGGCCTGCGGTTAGTATGTGACACGCTATGGGCCCAAAAGGTAGTTGAATCCCAACCTCCCCTCGACTAAACCAAAACCTCTTGTGTTTCTTTATAAGTTTAACGGACATAGACTAAAATGATTAACTTTACAATGCAGTCAGGCTTATGCTGTACTATATGAAGGTTTAGTAGGCCTAGAGATGTGCTGGGAGCAAGCTGGGTGCGACTGGTACCTGAGGTTTTGGGTTCAAATTCTATCAATCATCAATGCATTTTGTCTAAGTGATAATGTCAGGACCCTAAGGGCCTGGGCCTTTTCTCTATGTCTCACCTTTACATCTTAGGACACTAGGTTCTAGTTCGGAAATGTTTTACTGAACCCTGGACCTCAGACTCTGAAGCCTCACACTATACCACTAGACCAGCTCACTTCCAGACCCTGTAGGCCTAGCCTCAAGCAAAACGGTTCCAGGATTAAGGATAGCGTCAAGGAGCTGATGGTAGGGAAAAATGGACTAACATAGGCATATGGAATTTGAATATATAAAAAAACTAGCTGTTACCCGCAGACTTTGCCCCCTTCGACTTCATAAGTAGGCTATTAATAAAACTATTGATTGCCGTACCGGTTTGAGTGGCATTTTGAAAAGCTTTTCATGGTTACTTTGAAGAACAATATTGGAGTTAGGCTAATTGACTGTCAGGACAAAGCCCTAGGAGAGTATTAAAATAAAATATGACTATGCCCTTTTAAGCCTGTGGTTATATTGGCTCTACTCTTGTCAAAAATCAGCTCAATTGATTAAGTAGTTTTCACGTTATTGACATAATCCAAACATTCATATCTATAAACAAAAATTTAGATTCTTCCAAAACTAGGGGGGAGGAAGGGGTTCAAGTCTTTGACTTGATTAGTGATGCATTGAAATTATTGACAACGCTAATCCGTTTCCCTGAAATTTCAGTTTTTATATCAACACTTTGGATTGGAAACTAATAAAGTCAATAAGTTGATGAATTATGCACTTAAATATAAAATTGCCCTATTTTCACAATACCTACCACAAATTATTTATTATAAAAAAATATATAGAAATAGGTAGCCTACCGGTACCTATAACTTAAGAGTTCTCATTGTGTATCTTATTTCATTTGAATATTGCAGAAATCCCATAACCAACATTGTATCGCAGTTGTGTGATTTTTGCAATGAATGATGTATTTCAATTTGTACATCATTAATATACTACCCCCGCTGCAGCAAACCTGTAGACTAAGCGAATTTCAACATGTCTGGATAAATTTTTACTGAAATATTTCCAAAAATAAGACATATTTATTCTGAATTTAAATAACATTAGATTTTACGAGTGCTTAGGTTTGCTGCTACAGGGAAGGTAATAAGTTTTTTTTTGCCAAATGTTAAAAGCATAGGATGAAATAAGTAAACCAAATTTTATCAACATATATCCATAAACAAGTGAGCTTACAAAAGATTTCATTTCATCTGTAACTGTTAGACATACAACTATAGAAAATATACTCAATTAAGTTAAAGTATTTCTTTTTTTAAGGTCTACAAGATAATTTATAAAGAAATTTCAAAAATTTATGTTTTTAGGGTCAAAAACGGAAAAACCCATTCCCCCCCATTAAACACCCCATAAACCCCTGTTCCCATGGTCGTTAGAATAAATGTAAGTTTACACGTTTGTACAGAATTTCATCAAAATCTGATCATTTTTGCATCGAGTCATCGTGCTAACGTGGACATATAAATATATATATATATATATGTGAATTTAAACGGACGGTGTTTTTGGCCTCTGGGGACCTCAAGACAAAAAAGTAAATCGGTCCCGGGTCCAGGTCTTACTATGAAACATATGGTAATAGCTTAATCCCTAAGGGAAATTCGCTATAAAGTAAAGATAAATTTTTTTTAATGGTTATAGGGTTTTTACAAACTACGATTCAAATTGGCTGTTTTCATACATTCAAACAAAAAAAAGTATAGTGCCGCACCATCTAAACCTTGTAACTTTAAAATGTTACTGAACTTCATAGAACCAACTTGTTTAACTGAAACAGCTGTTAAGATTCATTAATTCCTTTTAAATATGTACTCATAAGAGGGTAAACTCAAGAGCCACTGGTGCGGAACCTGATAGTCCGACCTGAATTAAACTTACTTATTTTTCTTATTCAATGCCTTAAGAATCAGTGTACCAAATTTCAGCCTCCTAGTAGTCTGGGCGTCGACCCATTGTAATTAACGATGACCTGGAAATTTGGGTGGACAAAGGTTTTTTGACTGATTCTGACTCAGTTTTTTGCGCTGATTACGAATATGCCGGGTGCCACCTTGGCACCCTTGGGCAAACGCCGCCATATTGGAAAAATGGCGGCCAAAACTGGTTTTTCGTTAAATATTCGAAAACGGTTAGTTTTAGAGATATTTATGTGGAGACATAAAATGTAGAGCGTAAAAAACTACACAGAAATGATATCAACACTTTTTTTTGTAAACCTCACGGTTTTAGCACAATTTTGTGAAATTGAAGTTATTATTAACATAAAGTTGTAATATAGTGCCAATACCCATGACATATTACATTCATTCTTCAAAAAACATAATTATATTATGCATTACACATTTGTACAAGAAACCTTTGATTAAAATAATTGTTAGTTTCATCTAACATCCCTCAGTTACCCACCCCGTGGCCATTATGCTATTTCTGTATGCGAGTCTTTGGCGGGCTCGGTGGCGCGCTCAGCCTTCAATAAAGTTTCGAATACAGTTGCGAGAGTTGCTTGTAAGTAGTGTACAAGTGATATGTAGTTGGATACTTTGGTTGGAAATTACTAAGGTAAATTATCTTAAAATTAGATTTTTATGTTATTGCATTATGTCATTGATTTAACCTGCTTATAAATACCTGCCAACTACATATGCTATTCTAGCTATGATACTACTACATAATTTTTACTCTGTTGGGTATTTAATTGACAAGCTGTAATACTAGTTAGTACAAGGTTCTATTATAATATATTATGTATCAATATCGGCCTATACATTAAATTGGCAAATAAAAATTTATCGAATATTAGAACGAATGATTTTCTATTTAAAAGTTTACATAAAAAAAAATATATATATATACATGGTGTGGCAAAACTTTACCTTGCTCTTCCCCCCAAATACCACCACCCTGACGAAAAACCCCAGATCCGGCACAGTATATGTTTGTGGAACGTCTTTATAAAGTTAATGAAGATTCCAATTGATGTGTTTTGTTCTAGATTGGAACAATGAATTGAATACGATAATGACGGAAAATAGAAGTGTATTAGGGGATTAAAACTTACCTCAAAGGGAAAGGAATATTCTTGCTTTTTAACTGCGGAAAAAATGGACAGTTAATAAGTGGAGGCCCTGTAAGAGTCTGATCAATTAAATCAGCAAGTATTGAACTACAAGATGAGTTGTTCATATACCTGGATGAAAATTTACTCGATTATTTTCGTAAATCTTGTGTGTCCTCTTCCTCATAGAAATCAAAGACCCACATTCAGCGTGCATTTAAAACATTAGCCCGTCCGTAGTTCCTCCACCACCCAAGCGTTTGAAAAGATCAGATATACAGAGCTTTGATTTTAAACTAAATTGCCTGTACTGTGTAGAAAAATGTTTGAAAATTGATCTAAAACATCCCGACCGATGGCAACCATATTCCCAAATCCGAACTGTTGATAGACCGAACAAGCCCACTCTAAAACAATTAATTTTAGAAAAATTTGAGTTAAGGCAAGATGAGTTTTCTAATAAATTAAAGTTAGAATCAACGGCGTAATTGGAGATCTACATGCAGCCGATGCACGTTATCATAGGGATAGTCATAATGTTCTTTTGCACCAAAAACAAAGACCTATAAATTACAGAAACACAAATCTTGGTAGTGAAGATACTATTTTGAAATCAATTATTAGTATAATGAATGAAGACCCATCACGCGTTTGGAACTCAATAGAGCTGTTCGAGTTTTATAAATCCCAGGGTGGGTCAAACATAATACGTAAAACTCTGGTAAAAAAAAAAAAACAGACATAGTAGGACCTAGCTTGATTGTGTTATCTTCTCCTGGAAATACTAACATAGTTGCGTTTAGAAATCAAATGCCATTTGCGATGAAACTGGCATTATCTGATGAAGATGAAGAATGTAGTTTTGGAAAAGTAAAAAAGAAAATTGAATCAGAAACTACATCACGCACAGTTAACAGAGACAACTATGAAACCAAATTGAATCATGAAAGCCTTGAATCTAATATCAGCAAGATATTGTTGCTATTTTTAAAAGAGCTTGTACTGGTCTACCTTCCTTGATATAGGTAACATTGTTATATATTTAATGTTATTGACCTCTTCGTTGTAGTTTTCTTCAGACAACGGGATTAATAGTAATCTATTAACAAAACTGTGATAAGCTGCCAATTTCTGGTTTTGTGGATGATGTGAACTATTATGGATGGTCTGGTGTGTGGTTGTAGGTTTTCTATAGATTTTAAAAACAAGTTTGTTTTTGTCAGAACATCTTGAGATACTAAGGTCTAGAAAATTCAGTGTTTTATTGCTTTCGGTTTTGAGAGTAAACTTTATGTTTTTATGTAAGCTGTTCACACAAGATGAAGCTACAACTTTAGTATCATAGACAATTAAGACAAACAAAGGTTTTTTGGAAGCCTTATTTATGAGACAAACAACATATTTCCTTTTTTAAAAGAAAAAGTTACAAAAAAAATTTGACGAAATAATAATGTGTATAAAGCACTCAAATTGTAAAATTCTTCGTATAGGCTACTTGGAATGGAGAAATAATTGAAAAAAATCATAAAAATATTAAAATTTTACTTTTAAAATTTTACAAACACAGTTTTGGTTCTGAACAGACATGCTTAAACCTTTATTTACTAATTTTTTAATCACTTTTAAACCAAACAGTCACCAAAAAGCACTGCTCTAGAGCACTGGAGGAACTGCACATGTGTCTGTGGGGGGGGGGGGGGGAGGGGGAGGCGGTGGGATGACGACCGCGTCAGACTCTCCACGCTCTCATTGGTCTGGTTCTTACTGGTCTCTTATTGGCAGTTCTCCCTCTTACTCCAACGTCAGATTGCCCCACCACGCCGATACAACAGTGTTATCTGTTTAAGTATAGGCCTATTATGTACAATTGTAAGGTTAATCTTCTTAGGAAATGAGTTCTCCATGAACATTGAGTGTGTTTAGCATAAACTTTTCAGTGAATAATATTTACAAATATGAAATATATATAACATGATCATTTTTAGGGCATTGATGATTGGGGACTTTTAGAGAGATAATTGTGTGAATATTTTGATTGCATATTTGCTGCAAAAATTTCCAAATTTACATTACCTATCCTTTCAATTATTATCCTTAATAATCGTCCTTTAATTATCTTTTTAATTATTATTGTTGACACGATATAGGTATTTTCATGTTAAAGTTGTTTTCACCCATTCTAAATTTATCTCTAGCCTATAAAAGAGGCATTCAAAAACTGCTGTTAAATTAAGAACCAGTGCAAACATTTTAAATTATATTGCCTGGTCATGTTTGGCAACTTGTCACTTAGAGTAATCTCTTTTCAGATTAAGGAGCCGACTAGAAGACCACCAGACATATCGTGGAGGAGGTTGATCACTTACCAGTGACTCCTCCAATGATCGGCCAAGCCATTTACCAGTACAGAGTTTATATCGAACCTGCAGACAAAATGCATGAAAGGTAATTTATTCTTTGTCTTTATCTAAGGAATGGCTATCCTCTTGAGCTAATGATTTAGCCTTAAACTATAGAGAAATGTAGACATCCCACTTCTCATGGGTTGTAGTCAAGTAAATGAACGTCGTTAAATTGAGTAACCGACAGTGTACTGATTTTATTGATTTCTGTCGTATCAAATTTTTAATCAAGCTAAACTAAGAGGATTTAATGGAAGCACTGGCATCTTTAATTTCATATAAACAATCACAGTATTACAACAAATAAGAATATAGTAAGTTTTTTACAGTACTACACTCTAAGCAGTATATCATGGGCGGAGTTTCATGACAATGCCCCCACCAAAGATTTAGACAAATATTCATTTTTTCCACTTTTTTGTTAGAAAGAATACTTTTTTTTAACTATTTAGTGATGTTAAACATCTTTAGTATTCTGGTTAAGAGAGTTAGTTACATTTTTCTGCATGACTTATTACGTTGCAAATACAAGTCGTCGCACAGAGCACAAAAAATTGTAAAACTTGCATTTTGAAACATTAAATTATAGTTTTTTGGGCAATCCCTCACATCTCTGGTTGGGGGGTGTTCCTTGACCCCCCTGGTATCCTCGCAGCCGAAAATTTAAGAATCCCAGCCTCTCTAACAAATAACCTCTAACCCCCTATTCAGCTCATTTAACTATGTTATATTTCAATTAAGAATTAACTAAAGCTGTTCCCTAATAACAGGATATCTACTTTAGCTCACAAAGCTTATGCTTTAGCTAAATAAATCTTTTATGATTTCCGATCAAAAGATGAATTTTATTTAAAAGCTGATCCTTAGAAATATTTAAGGTCAGAGCATTAAATTTGCTTGTTTTTGTTAAGTTACGTTCAATGAAAGATTATTTGCCAGTTGATAAAATAATGTGTCATCTTGGTATTCAAAGGAACAGTTTGGTAAAACTATCTCAGTTCAAATATTTTGCTAACAGGTGTTAACAGTTCAATTTTGTACAAAAAACTAGATGTCATATTGAATGTCGGCCTTCATTAACTTAATATATACTTAGCTTTCCACATGCAATGCATCCTACTAGCAACAATTGGGGGTACTATTAACATAGTCTTTCTTTGAAGAATAAGACCTCTCTTCCCTCTAAGAAGAGTTGTTATTTATTCATGAGATGTGTGTATTAGGCCTACATAATTTTGAAATGAATTCCCATGTTAACCGACAGAAGTACATACCAATGTAAGTACATAACATTCTAAGTGTAAACAAGGAATGGTTTAAAAATTAAATACAGTATTTTTTGTAGAAACTCCATGCAAGGAGTGTTGAAGATGCACTTCCCTGATCGCCATCCAGCTTATGATGGAGGGAGAAACCTGTTCTCCCGTGGTCCTCTACCTATCGCTAATCAGGTGAGTTTTTTCTTTTTTCCTCATTCCACTATTACTCTGCGTAGTTTCTACCCAACACCACACAGACACACAGTCTATTTTGCTTAACAGAAACCTAAGCTTTTCAAATGTAACTGTAATACAAAGAAGTGCCCTCCTTCAACCATTATTCCGAAGACATAAAAAAGTAGCTTAAAAAACATATCATACAGCGTAGTTACAACCAAGATTTTTCTCTTTGATAAACTATTTTCAACAAATAAAAACTGGGCACAGCTTTTCTTGATGATTGGGCTTTAAGATAAAGTATCATGCTGGCTAAAGAAACATCTACCATACCTTTGTTCTTATTTAGCTTTAAAAAGTTCTTAGGTGTGTCGCTGTGTTAAAGTAATTTGTAATTCCTAGCTTTGAGATATCAGTGCATACCTGTGTGTTTTTTACACTGAATATGTATGAAGAGTGAGTGTAGAATTTAGTGTGATGATCTGTGTAGCTTTGTCACAGACTTAGATCAGCTGTTCCATTAGCCAGGATCATTTAAAAAAAGCAATCAGGATAATACATAAATTAAAATACAACCAGTCTGTCAAATCTTATTTCAAAGGGATGGGCATTTTTACAGTTCACCTTCAGTTCAACCTTATATATTTTTGAAACAATTAAATATTTTTTAAATATTGCTGAGACTCAAGAATTGCCTGTGCATAATTATAATACAAGGGGTAAAAATTATTTAGCTAAAGAAAAACCAAGACTTGAACTTTTTAAAAATAAACCTTCTTATATTGGAAACTATTTTTTTAGAAAACTTCCTAGCTTTTTAAAAAAAGAAAAAGACAAATCTAAATTTATGAAAAAACTGAAGGCATTCTTACTTGACCTTGCACCTTACAAAATAGAAGATTATAGTAATTTCAATTTAAAATAATGTAGCCTATAGTATTTTGTTTAAATGTTTCTTATTGCTAATTTAGTTATTAAGTAACACTATACACTATTCATGTACGAAAATTTGTAATGTGTGAATAAAGACTCTTTGAATCTTGAATCTTTATTCAAAGCTACTGACTTTTATCAGGATCGAAGCGGAAACCTGTTAATTGTGAGGCGAATACTATAACCACTCAGCTACCCAGCCAGTCATTATTATCAATGACATTGTACTATTTTACCTCTTACATAATCCAATTTGTTGGTTGTTATCAGTTAACTTCAGTAGCATAACTACTAACGCCAATGCAACCAATGAGGTGCATTTGGGCGCAGGCCTTAGGGGCGCAAGAAAATGATAGTTTACCAGAAATAAATGTAAAAAAATATTTGTGGTACCGTACTTTATTGCGTTACAGTCACAACAGAATGTTAATGACTCTTTTGTTTACTATTATCGTGATCTCCTCCTGCAACGGTGCACATCTGCGCTTATCGCGTTCTTATCACAAGTTGTTAGCTGCAAAGATAGTCAGATGAAATCTTTCAGTATTATTTTAGTAACCACAACCACGTGTCCCTGTCAGTCCTTGTTGTAGGATCAGTAGTGTTATTAGAAATACAATGGTATATTTGTGGTTGGTTACAATGTTGTATATAGTGAAATAGTATCCAGGAAGTATGGAGAAATGTTGTTAGTTTAGTTGGAGGTTATTGGTTCAATACTTGCATTGGGGCGCAGTCAGACTAGTTACTCCACTTGGTTAACCTTCATGTTTTGCTGTTAATGCGACATCGCAACTGTAAAACGCACACAAATAAATAAATACTAAACAAACGTTTACTAAAGATTGGCCTGACACAAAATCATGATAATGAGACACTGTTGTCAATTAATGTTTTTGCTACCCTGATGTTGTCTGGGAGCGAGCTGGTATAGTGGTAGAGCACAGAGCTTCGGTGTCCGAGGTCTCAGGTTCAAATCCTGCCAATCACAAATGGATTTGATCTAAATGATAATGCAGCAACCCTCTAGGACTATCCTGAAGTAATGTGTAAAACGATTCTGGACTGGAACTAAAAACGTAGTATGTGAAGATGGGATATAAAATTTAAAAAACCCAGATGATGTCGTATTAACAGCATAACGTGTTGGTCAACTCTCCTTTACTAACAAGTTTGATTACAAAATGAGGTAAAATAGTAGGTCCATTATAGAATGTGATGACCCCGAGGTTATAACCAGATTCCAACTAATGGAAACAAAATTCGAGAGGAGGCTGACAGGTTGCCTATGGTGACAGCTACTAGAAGATCTAGTGCTTCTCGGTTGTTTCACTGAGGATGAAATCTGGTACCGAGCTATCATCAAGGACCAATTCCTTTATAAAAGATCAGTACCGGACTTCATCCTCTGTCCTCTATCCTTCAAGACTCTATCACTGTGTACTTTATTCTACTATGGCAACTCGGAATCACTGCCAGCGAGAATGAGGAACATGAACGCAGAATGGACGGAAGTTCCCACGCAGGCCATTCAAATGAGGCTGCATAATGTGGAGAAAGGGCCAAACTATGAGGAGGAGCTTTGTAGCATAGAAAAACAGATCTTTTATACTGCAGAGCTCCCTCTCAAAGTTAGCGCCTTCCAACCATCATGTCACCATCCAGCTGTTTCAAGAACCCACTCCACACCATGACCAGACGGACAACATTCCCAACCTTTAAAGTAGAACTAGAATATCTGTTAGACAGTGGCATTTTGGCCAAGGAGTAAACCAAGAGGGCCTTTTAAAATATTCATTGTTCCTAAGAAAAATAAGGTCGAGTTTGAATTAATAAACTTTTGTTCTTATGTTAGTGATTAACACAGCAGTCTGTGTTAAGAGTTGCGGGTTGAAACGGTTAAATGTACATAGCCACAACTCAAGGTTTAAGCATGAAATTGAAATTCCTTTTTGTAGATTGGCCAAAGCAGCCAAAAGCTCTATAGGGCATAAACGGTACATTGTGCTTCCTCAAAATGTTAGGAATATAGAACCCTAATTTAAAACTGTTATAACAATAGAATCTTAAAGCACCATCTTTATGCTGTTTTTTTTAGTGATTTTATAAATTATAAGTAACATGCATTGTTATTCAACAAATTTTTTGATTATTTATATATATATAAAGGGTGTCCACACGTAAGGTGTCTCAAATTGATGATGGAAGAACGGCATAAAATAAAACACTAAATTAAATGGGGCCTTTGGTGTTAAACCCAAATAACATGCATTTGATATAGGAAAATTAAGTTTTTTGTGATTTACACAAATAGGAAAAGAGATACAAAGTAATTGTAAATTACAAAGTTGTTATGAATTACAAAAACCTAATTTTCCTATATCAAATGCATGTTATTTGGGTTTGTTTGGGATTTGAACTAGTGACCCTCAGTTTTTGGCACACCCTGTATCGGAAAAACGTTAAAAATATTTTCTTAGCGGTCCTTGTACGTTAAGCCGTTCCTCCGTAAACAATTTGAGATACCTTACGTGGGACACCCTTGTATACATGTACTCAATTGACAACTGTGATCTCTCCTGTGATATAGGCTAAGTTTTATATGTATGTTGCATCACAGACTAAC